GTATCCTTCGCCAAAGAGCCAAAAGGATATAAAGGCGTTTCTAAGTATATTGGGTTACTATAGAAAATTCATAAAGGATTTCTCTAAATTAACGGAAGCAATTAAGCAATGCTTAAAGGAAGACAGATTAGTAATTCATACAGATGACTTTTTAAAAACTTTTGAGACTTGCAAACATTTGTTAATGAACGACCCTATACTCACCTACCCCGACTTTAATCGACCACTCATTTTAAAAATAGACGCAAGTAACTACACTTTGGGCGCGGTCTTGTCCCAAAGACCCATAGGTGCAGATAAATCTATCTGCTACGCTGTAAAACACTCGCAGATTCGGAAATAAATTATTCCACTATAGAGAAGGAACTCCTCGCTATCGTTTGGCTACAAAATACTTTAGGCCCTATCTCTATGGGATAGAGTAGAGATCAGGAAATTTAAACTAGTAACTGACCATAAGCCACTCACGTGAATTATAAGTTTAAAGGATCCGGGTTCTAGACTAGTAAGATGGAGACTATTGGGAAAGGGACTCGTTAGAATTCAGCTCCTCGTAGCTGAGGTTAATCTAAACGAACCTGATTCGAGTTCTTGTGCGGCTACTATCCAATCAGCAGAAGAAGACATGAATGACGGTATAACAATATCAGAACGATCTTTGAAAGAATTTTCACTACAGATTATAATATAAAAGAACAAACCCACAGACATCCCCAAAAATTTTATTTAAGAACAATCAGAGACGTATAATCAAAATTAACGAATTGAACAAAACAACAATATCAGACATACTAAAAAAATTTCTTGCACCCAACAGACTAACTATTATGAAACCAATAAAATATATAAGAATATTCACTATAAATATTCAAAATTTTTTTCTCAGTCTAGGTTATTTAATTAGATGAACGGAGGTCCTCGAGGACAAACAAGACCAAATAATAAATAAATATCACACTTATAACAATCATCGAGGTATAAATGTGAAGCTTTTATATTTAAATATACAAAATAAAATAGTGAAAAATAAAATCACTAAGTATATTAGTTTAATTTTATATTTAAAATACGATAGGAATCCTTCTGTACTCAAACGCACTATTCCAGAAATTCCCAATAAACCTTTGGATATAGTCCATACCGACGTGTATTCTACAAATCATCAACAAAATCTGACAATTATAGCCTCTAAATTCGCCGGGGCTTATACAATAAAATCAAGAAATAGCATATCTGTAATACAAAAAATTAAAAATTTTATGAGCCTTCACGGCATACCTAAAAAATTAATTGCAGATTCAGCCTGCGAATTTCTTTCAACAATTTTTAAAGATTTTTCTATACAATAAAATATCGAACTTCATACCATATCTATTCAACAAAGTAGTAGTAACTCTACGGTAGAAAGATTACATTCTACCATAACCGAGATATATGCAGAATAATTTATGAAAAACTAAAAAATAGTAGTCACGAAGAAATTCTTTTCGAAACTCCCTTAACCTATAATAATGCCATTCATTCCAGTACCCACATTCATTAAGTTCAATTTGAAAAATTTAGGCGCCAAAATATTCACGAAAACTTGGGATACAATTGGCGAAAAGTATTGGGATGGGATACAATTTCAAAAACAATATCATTTCTGTTATTTTCGAACGATTTATTATTTAGAAGTTTCAGAATTTGTAGACTGCGTAAACAAAAAGAAATTAGCTAAAGTTTGCGCATATTGTTTAACGCTGCGATTTAGAAATTTTAGTTTTATTGTAGAACTTTCAGACTAATCAAACTTTTATTGTAGAATAATTCAACCAAGATCAAGTTGCAAATTGTGAACTACACGATCTACACGACACTATAAAAATATATCAACCAGAGCCAAACCATATTATTCCTGTTAATGTCCCAGAACCGTGAGTAAACTACAACCTGCAAACCAAACTCTCAATAACTTAAAGAAACAAAGTGAATACATTTGAATAATTGCAAAATAAAAACAACGGAATAACATATTCCACAATTCCAAACTACCATTGGGACGAAATCAACGTGCATCCAATAACTTTCAATGAAATAAATATCACTTTTACACACAATAGCACACAATTTAAAAAATTAGAAAATTTATAATTTATGAAATCTATTCCAACACATGTTGATTATATGGTACAACAAGATTTATTTATAACGACAATTAGAACTATACAATTTTCTTCCTAATTCTGGTACTTCTTTAAATTTACTTGTACAAAAGTTTCAACAAGAAAACTTCATTTCAACCTTGTATTACAAAATTCTTCAATGAATCCAACAAAAGAAAACAAACAAATAATTTATTTGGTCATAACTTTAAACTAATGGGGGAGGAATTACGTATGCTGAAACTATACTTTCAAACAACAACATAATAATATACTTAGTTTAAATATAGAAATTTGATATGAATGCTTTTAATTTTGTATAAATATCAGATACATTTAATTCAAAATTATAACATTCAATTAAATAAAATTGTTTACCAGTTAAAACCAAAATGGATAAAAACCAAAGTTATCGATTTTGTAATTAATCATAATTTAGATTTGAAGTAAAAAAGTACATTCTGTACTTAGAATTAAAAATAGTTTGTTTTTTCTTTCCTATTCGAACCATTGCTGCACTTAATTCGCGGGGGAAATAGAATCTTACTGCGGGGTGACTGTAATGCCAAACATGTGTATTGGGGCTCAACTAGAGGTAGAGAATTAAAGAAAGACATTCGGGAGATGAGATGTTCCTATCATTCTGCTGGCAGTCCGACTTATTGGTCCACTGATGCTAACAAAGTCCCGGAACTTATTGACTTTTTTATATCTAAAAGGCAAATTTTTTAAACTTGGAAGATGATTTTAGTTTGAATTCCGATCACTCTACTCCTTTATTATATTAACTTTATGAGAGAAACTATATTAGCCTTTAGTGAGAAATAGCTAAAAATTAGAACGTCCGTAAGAGCAACAAAACCACAGATTAAGTAAGCTGTTTGTCTAGTAGAAGATTTGTATATGGATGAGAGCACTGTCTTTATTTAATGAAAAAGAAATTTGCTGAGCGATAAAGTCGCTTAAACCGAATAAGACCCCAGGTTTTAGTCTCATTACAGCTGAGATATTAAGAGAATTGCCGAGAAAGGCTACAACATTTTTGGCAAAATTGATAAATGCAGTAGTTGACCTGAGGTTCTTCCTTGTGTTTGGAAAGTAGCGGAAGTTGTTATGATAGAAAAACCGGGGAAACCCTTCAATGTGGCAAAGTCATATAGACCGATTTCTCTACTACCAATGATATCAAAACTTTTATTAACAAGGCTGATGCCGATAATTCTAAACCATATGATTTTTTGTGTAAAATCATGCAACAATATTGATCAAGTACCCAGAATAACTAATATTGTGCATTTAAAGACGTTAGAAGCAATGCAATATAAAAGGCGTTAGAAGAAAGGCAAATATTATCGGCAATATTTCTGGACGTGGCCCAGGTGTAAATTGATAGCTTTGCAATTCTTGGAGTTGCTTGAATCATATTTATCTGACGGGATTTTCCAAATCAAACCAAACGACGAGTACTCCACGCTTAGGGAAATTAGGGCGGATGTGCCTCAAGGTAGAAATTCCGCAAATTCTTTAACGTCAAAATTTTGTTTTCAGTCTGCAAACTGTCTGACGTTTAAAACTTTTACGGACAGAAATGTAGTAAACTTTTTACCCGTAATTGACTTTGAATTTTGATCATCCGTAAACGTCAAAACAAAAAAAAATTTTTTTTTAGATTTAAAATAATTTTATACTTACATATTAAAAATTAACAAAAAAAATATTTTTTATATTATTTTTAACGTAATGATAGTCACTCAATACATCAAATTTATTTACTGAATTACTACGTCAGACTGTCTGCATGTAAAAAAAAAAATCTACAATTTTGACGCTTAATTGACTTTTTTTAAACGTTTAAGAATTTAAACTTTGACTGAAAGTAAAAACGCAGTAGAGTATTCGTAAACTCAGACAACTCAGATTTTGTAAAATTTGACGTTTAAGAATTTACCAACTGGGTCCTATAATTTACGTGCTTTATACATGCTATTTGCCAGATTCAGAAGGTGCAACTTTGGCTACGTTTGCCGACGATACAGCAATATTGACAGTGAGATCATAAGTAAACAGCATAAGTAAATAGACAAACACATAGAAAAATAAGCTAAATGAAAATAAAGCTGTACATGAGAATTTCACAAACAAAAATTTAGTGAACCCTCCGCAGTTGAGTTTTAATGGTGCTAAAGTATTAATCCAAAACACAGCGAAATACCTAGTAATGATTTTTGATGTAAAGCTCAGATAGAAATAACATTAAAAAAAAAGAATAGAATTAGAAAATAAAAACAGAGAAAACTTTTGACTCCTAGGTCGCGGGTTTAGATTGTCAACATACAATAAGGTGTTGATATATAACCAAATGATAAAGCTTATATGGACGTATGGATTTGCAGCTATGGGGTTGTGCCAAGCAAACACATATCAAACAAATACAAACTTTCCAGAATAAGGTCCTTCGTAATATGGTGGGTCCACGGTATGTGCGGAATAGTGATATTCTTTGGGATCTGGGTATCCCCCAAGTTTGTGAGAAAATAAGGAATTGTGCCAAGAAACATAGGTTGCGTTTGGAACAACATGTAAATGTCAGGGCCTCCCGACTTATAACAGAAAGAGGGTTTGCACAAAAAAACTGAAGCGAACGAAACCTTTTGAATTAGCCTAAAGTGCTCTGACAGCACTTCCGTGGCTTCCTTCACGGAATATAGACACAAAAACACGATAAAACAAAACTAATGGTCCATGTGAGTTTTAGGTTGGGTTGAGTCCCCTACTATTGATAAGTTTGATGACAGGTTCGGTCCCTCCATCTTTGTCTTTGGATGATTTTTAACACCTGCATTAAAAAAAATTAAAGAATAAAACAATTTTCTTACAATTTATTCATCAATATCGGAATAAATTAATGAATATTTAAATATAATAAGTTTGGCGTTATACTCAATTTATTAAAACTACATAAAATCGAAATTTGGATCTTCGAAATTATTTGGTCTAGGAAGTTGACTAGGACCTGAGCTTCCTATCATATTCGGATTCGATCCTACCATCTGCTGTAACTGTGGCCTAAATTGATTACCTGGCTGAGCGCCTGGTTGTTGCAAAAGCATTCTAAGGCCTGGATTCGACATCATTGGGCGAACCATCCGTTGTTGTTGCGGACCGCCGATCTGATTAACTCCCTGTATAACAGGTATGTTAACCGCATTAGGACCTTGATGTTGCATTAATCCACCCATTCCGGTCCTTTGCATCATACCTATCTGTTGCAAATTATTTTGAATTTGATCTTGCTGCATTTGCAGTTGTACTTGATTTGGATTATAAGAATTGAAATGTTGTTGCGTATTCGTCTCCGATGAAATATTTGAACTTTGGGACTGCTGCAAGGAATTTCCGACTACATTTCCAACCATGTTAACATTTGCACCAATAACACCAGTAGGAATAATTTGGGAAGTCTGAGACGATTGCTGCGTCGATTGTGATTGTTGTTGTGACTGTTGATGCTGTTGCTGTTGATGTTGCGACTGTTGTTGCTGTGCTGGTTGTAAAGGTTGCTGTTGAGGTTGCAATTGTTGTGCTGATGGGGATGGTTGTTGCATTTGTTGGGGTTGCTGTTGCTGAGTATTTACGCACGGTTGCTGCTTCTGTTGAATGGCCTGTAAAAGAGTAATCAATATAATTGCTTGAAAAAAATAAGAATCAAAACCCACTTTACGTAGCTGATCAACGAACATAGTTTGATCGTTTGGTATAAAACCTAAATATGTTTTTTTTTCGGGTGTGTACAACAATATAAGTATTCGAATATCACAAGAAGGACCTTGAGTTGAGACATTGAAATGCACGCAACCAGCAAATCCATTGTTCATAATTTTTGATAATGCGTCTAATGATTCGCTTGATTGTGGTTTAAAGACTACTACTTTAGAATCTTTTAAATATTCCCCTCCAACATTACCAACTAAATGTTTTGGCATTAGTTGCATCAAAAGTCGTGGCGGCCAATTATCAGCTTTGACTTCAACTTCACCATCTTTTATATTAGCAAAAACTTGGCACTGCACTGATCGAGCTGACTTAGATTGATCTGTTTTAGATTTTTCTAACCACTCGAGGGTTCCACTCCAAACCTTTTCCCTCTCTGCTGAAATATTTCCAACATTAGTACTATTACTACTTGTAACAGGCGCATTATTTGAAACTGCAGATCCTGATTGGTTGTGCTGAGATTGTTGGTGCATAAGTTGATGCTGTGCACTCGATGCTTGCTGCTGCATAGGAAGAATTCCTGGTTGCTGACCTGCTGTTGAAGGTTGTTGTTGATTTAATAGTTGCATTCTCATTTGTTGCTGTACGGGAGTGAGCATTTGATTTTGCATTTGCTGATTCATATTTATATTGGGCGCATTTGGAGGTTGGTTAAGCTGAGAAATCAAAACAGAATTTGAATTCGATCCAATATTTCCCACAATTTGAGTTTGTTGTTGTTGTTGCATATTTGCACTTATGTTAGTACCACCTAAAATAAAATAGATATTGAGAAATTTGTATGTAATAAAATAAAATTAAAACTTTTTTTTTTTTTAACTTAATGGAAATTTCTTCATGCAACTGCAGAACAGATGGATGACGTAATCAAAGGAACGAGTTAAAGGCAGAAATTTTAATGAATAATTTTTCTGCCTTTAACTCGTTCCTTTGATTACGTCATCCATCTGTTCTGCAGTTGCATGAAGAAATTTCCAATAAAATAAATTAGTAGTGTAATAGGCACATTCTTATTGATTCCGCAACTATGATGTTGTATTAGTAAAATTCATAATATAATTAGTGGAATAGGCACTATCCTATAAATATATATGTTCTTGTTATTGTGTGTTTCAATGGATTGTATGTAGCAATCAATATAAACAAAAAAAAAAAAAAAAACAAATACTTAGTAATCATGTGAATTACAGTATAAAGCAATGTAGAGAACATTTCGTCGGCAATTTCTTCATGCCTCTGTAGCTCAGTTGGTAGAGCGTCCGCCTAGAAAGCGGTAGGTCACTGGTTCGAGTCCAGTTCGAGGAGAAAAATTTTTTTAATGAATAATTTTTCTGCCTTTAACTCGTTCCTTTGATTACGTCATCCATCTGTTCTGCAGTTGCATGAAGAAATTTCCATTAAGATAAATTAGTAGTGTAATAGGCACATTCTTATTGATTCCGCAACTATGATGTTGTATTAGTAAAATTCATAATATAATTAGTGGAATAGGCACTATCCTATAAATATATATGTTCTTGTTATTGTGTGTTTCAATGGATTGTATGTAGCAATCAATATAAACAAAAAAAAAAAAAAACAAATACTTAGTAATCATGTGAATTACAGTATAAAGCAATGTAGAGAACATTTCGTCGGCAATTTCTTCATGCCTCTGTAGCTCAGTTGGTAGAGCGTCCGCCTAGAAAGCGGTAGGTCACTGGTTCGAGTCCAGTTCGAGGAGAAAAATTTTTTTAATGAATAATTTTTCTGCCTTTAACTCGTTCCTTTGATTACGTCATCCATCTGTTCTGCAGTTGCATGAAGAAATTTCCATTAAGATAAATTAGTAGTGTAATAGGCACATTCTTATTGATTCCGCAACTATGATGTTGTATTAGTAAAATTCATAATATAATTAGTGGAATAGGCACTATCCTATAAATATATATGTTCTTGTTATTGTGTGTTTCAATGGATTGTATGTAGCAATCAATATAAACAAAAAAAAAAAAAAGCAAATACTTAGTAATCATGTGAATTACAGTATAAAGCAATAGAGAACATTTCGTCGGCAATTTCTTCATGCCTCTGTAGCTCAGTTGGTAGAGCGTCCGCCTAGAAAGCGGTAGGTCACTGGTTCGAGTCCAGTTCGAGGAGAAAAATTTTTTTAATGAATAATTTTTCTGCCTTTAACTCGTTCCTTTGATTACGTCATCCATCTGTTCTGCAGTTGCATGAAGAAATTTCCATTAAGATAAATTAGTAGTGTAATAGGCACATTCTTATTGATTCCGCAACTATGATGTTGTATTAGTAAAATTCATAATATAATTAGTGGAATAGGCACTATCCTATAAATATATATGTTCTTGTTATTGTGTGTTTCAATGGATTGTATGTAGCAATCAATATAAACAAAAAAAAACAAGTAAAAACGTTTCAGTCGGTATAAACCGATTGAATTATACCCTGCACCTTTCGTTATTGAGTAGCAATTACTCGAACCTGTGAGATCATTCTATAGAAACTTCACGGACATGTCTGACCTAAAATTGGACATCCGACTGCCAAGTTTCATCAATCTGACCTTATAATTTTTCAAAATATTTAAAATAAGCTTTTGGGGTTGTATGGCAAGTACCCGAACCTGTCAAGCAATTAAACTAAAACTTCACAAATATATCTGATCTATAATCGGACACACAACTGCCAAGTTTCATGAATCTGACTTTATTCTTTTTCCAAATATTTAAAATTAGCTTATGGAGTTGTGTGGCAGGTACCCGAACCTGTCAAGCAAATCCTCCAAAACTTCGGAAATATGTCTGACCCATAATTGGACACATGACTGCCAAGTTTCATGAATCTGACTTTATTATTTTTCCAAATATTAAGAATAAGCTTTTAGACTTGTATGGGAGCTACTCGAACCTGTCAAGCAATCGCACCAAAACTTTAGAAATATGTCTGACCCATAATTGGACACACGACTGCCAAGTCTCATGAATTTGACTTTATTATTTTTCCAAATATTTAAAATAAGCTTTTGGGGTTGTATGGCAAGTACCCGAACCTGTCAAGCAATTCCACTAAAACTTCACAAATATATCTGATCTATAATCGGACACACAACTGCCAAGTTTCATGAATCTGACTTTATTCTTTTTCCAAATATTTAAAATTAGCTTATGGAGTTGTATGGCAGGTACCCGAACCTGTCAAGCAATTCCTCCAAAACTTCGGAAATATATTTGACCTATAATTGGACACATGACTGCCAAGTTTCATGAATCTGACTTTATTATTTTGCCGAATATAAAAAATTTGCTGTTGGAGTTGTATGGCAGCCACCCGAACCGGTGCAGCTATCCCATTATAATTTTTAGAGCATGTGTAGAATATAATTGGACACATGTATACAAAATTTTATATTTATAGCTTTATTAGTTTTTGAAATATTTAAAATAAACTCTTGGAGTTGTATGGCAGCTACCCGAACCCGTTGACCGACTTAGTCCAATAACAATAGGGTTCGTCCTTGGCACAAAAGAAAAAACTTGTGAAAGTTTGGTGTCGATTGCATTATTGGTTTTTGAGTTATCGTGCGATCGGACGGACGGACGGACGGACGGACGGACGGACGGACATGTCTAAATCGACGCAGAATTTTACGCTGAGCAAGAATATATATATATGTCCATACCGCAGATGACTCCTTCAAGTAGTTACAAACTCCATACCAAAGTTAATATACCCTTCACGAAGTGCAGGGTATAAAAAAAAACAAATACTTAGTAATCATGTGAATTACAGTATAAAGCAATAGAGAACATTTCGTCGGCAATTTCTTCATGCCTCTGTAGCTCAGTTGGTAGAGCGTCCGCCTAGAAAGCGGTAGGTCACTGGTTCGAGTCCAGTTCGAGGAGAAAAATTTTTTTAATGAATAATTTTTCTGCCTTTAACTCGTTCCTTTGATTACGTCATCCATCTGTTCTGCAGTTGCATGAAGAAATTTCCATTAAGATAAATTAGTAGTGTAATAGACACATTCTTATTGATTCCGCAACTATGATGTTGTATTAGTAAAATTCATAATATAATTAAAACTTTTGTTATAAAATAATATTATAGTTAATAATAAATAAGGTTAGGCCGCTATAATATGCCACAAACAGCTCATTTTAGGAAATAAAAATAGGTTTTAAAAATATTTATTAAATGACTTTAATTTATTATTCAATAAAAAACGCAAAAATAACAATAACCAATACAATAAAGCAAAACAAAAATCAAAATATTGTAAGAACAAGAATAAAAACTTAATCAGGTTTATTTTTAAAAGTTTGCAGCTATCAAAGAGGAGTTCTAGATCAAGTTTTGAAAACTGCAAAAAAAACTGCAAAATTTTTGAAGAATAACTTGCCATTTTATATGCCGCGTTTAGTGAAACAAGGCTGAATAAATCATTCTCTATTTGGTTAGTCTGATTTAATATTTCGTTGCTATTATTAAGAAAGTGCTGTTGCAAATTATTGAAAAATAAATGATAAAACTTTGTGTGTTGTACCTTAAAACATTTTTACAAACAAAACGTTCGTTTAATTTCAACTGGATTAAAGTTTTTTTTTAATACAGGTGTTAAAATTTATCGATAGACAAAGATAGGCGAACCCAACCTGTCATCAAACATATCAATAGTGGGAGACTTAGTCCAACTTAAAACGCACCTAGATGGTCATAAACTCCTAAAACTAGTTTTATAGTGTTTTTGTGTCTATATTTCGTGAAGGAAGGCACGAAAGAGCTGTAAGAGCACTTTAGGTCAATTCGAGAGGTTTTGTTCGCTTCAGTTTATTGTCCAAACCCTCTTCTCTATAAGTCAAGAGGCGTCGACATCTACATGCTATTCCAAACGCGCTCTGTTTTTCATGGCTCAGTTCCTTATTTCCTCAATTGCTTGGGGGACACTCAGATCCCTATGAATATCACTATTGCGTACATACCAGGGAGCACCCACCATATTACGAAGGACCTTATTCTGGAAAGTTTGTATTTGTTTGATGTGTGTTTGCTTGGCACAACCCCATAACTGCAAGCCATACGTCCATATAAGCTTTATCATTTGGTTATATATCAACACCTTATTATTTGTTGACCATCTAAACTCGCGACCTAGGAGCCAGTAGATTTCTCTATATCTTTTTTTCTAATTCTATTCTTTTCTTCTTTACATGTTATTTTCAACTGAGCTTTACTTCAAAAGTCTTACCTAGGTATTTCGCTGTGTTTTGGATTGATACACATCTTTCACATGTACAGATTTACTTCCATTTAGCCATATTTTCCGTGTATTTGTCAATTTACTTATATTGTTCCTTGCTTCCCGTACTTTTTTTATCGATTCTTCAACACTTGATCCGACTGCAAATATTATTGTATCGTCGACAAATGTAGCTAAAGTTACACCTCATAAATCTGTCAAATCGCTTGTATTAAGCACGTATAATATAGGACCCAGAATATTGCCTTGAGGCACACCTGCCCTATCAACTTGTTAGGTTTAAATAATAAAGCCAAACTTTATCAAACGCCTGAACCACGTCCAGAAATATTGTCGAACATATTAACTTTCTTCTAACGCCTTTTGCACAATATTTGTTATTCTGTGTACTTGATCAATATTGTTGGGTGATTTAATACAAAAAATGATATGGTTTAGAAGCCATATCATTTTTTGTATTAATTGTAAGAAGGCATCAGCCTTGTTAA